CAATCTATTAACTCAAAATATGATTACAGCTTTTAAATTTTGTGCGCGAGCCATTTTTATTTTGTTGGAAAAGACACACCCCCCTGGTTCACAAAATTTGAGATCGAGAAATTTTTTTCAATATTTTACATTATAAGTACCCAAAGAAGCTATATATATAAAAAACCAGATACAAATAGGTGTTTTGCGAAATTGAGAGCAATTTCAAATTTGTTCAGTTTTTTTTTATACACCCTGTAGAACAGTTCATTTGATTCCGCCTACGCAGAACTGTTGTTCTAGTCTTCTATAGCCTGCGAGCAGGCTCTCTGGGTGAAAGAGAGCCTGCAAGGATCCCTATAGAAAACCTCGAGCCGTTTTAACTTTTTTAGTATTCTCCAGTGGCCGGTCTGTATACGAAACTAACGAAAGAATACAATATAAATGGAGTTCAACGTTTATCGGTTTATGTTTACAAATTACAATATTGAAGAGTATTTCCGGTCTGCGCTGATTGGTTGTTATTAATTGACCTGTGACATCCTAATTGAAGGGCGGCACGCAATCATCATAGGGATCCTTGCAGGCTCTCTTTCACCCATAGAGCCTACTCGCAGGCTAAGCCTTCTAGGAAGTGTGAACTGTGAATTTCGAAAATCAGTCATGTGACTAGAGGCGTAATCTCTCCGTCGTTTGCATCTTACGATGAACAGTTGCAGCTGCCTCGTCTCTCGTCGCTTCAGTTGGGAATAGAGGTCAGTGGGAAAACAATGGGAGCGCGTGGCTTAATGGGAATGTACGGATAACGGATGAGGGACTGTGGAAAAGTCAGCAGTAGCAGATGAAACATTATATGAACCAGGCAGGCCAGGTAAGCCGGGCGGGCTCGCTTTACCGGGCCAAGTTGATTTGTTTCACACGAGGGGCGTTAGACTGTTAGTCCAGCCAGCCTACTGAAATTCCGGCCGCGCGATTTTCGGTGGGAACGCGATATTTGTTTTCATTTTCCAAAATGCTATTTATATTGACGGAAACTGTTTCAGAATTTTTAAATTTGTTGGTTCCTTACTTCTTTTGAATTTTTAGATGCTTTCTAGACGGAATAAACTGACATGCGTTGTGACACAACTTCCAGCCTGGTTTGCGGGGCTGCACACGTAAAAATCTCACAACTTGTCAACAAGATGTGCTCGCAACGGGCTTCCATGCAGTGCTTGTCAACAAGTTGTAACAATGCTGTTGCGCAGGGCAGGAATTTTTTTTTTCCTGGGAGCACACCTGGAGACAAAAATTTCCTGCAGACCAACAGAGTATTTTTGTGCTAAATTTGCATGTGCATAAACATATAGTGTTCTAGCTAACCATGGTTTTAAATTCAAGGAATAATGTCTGTCAACCATATGTTGTTTGCGCCCATAGTGGGACATAGGTGTTAAGGTTTCCTTCCAATTTTCAATAGCAAATCTTCATTCAAACGAATTTCCTGCAGCTGTTTAACGTTTCCTGCGAGCAGTGCTCGCGTGCTCGCCTATTTTTTCCACCCCTGCCTGTTGTTTTATCAAGTTGCTACAAGGTTGTCACTCACAACTTGTTGAGAAATTGTTGAATTGCAGGACAATAACAATTTGTTGGAAAATTTGTAAGAAGTCTGTTGAGCTCAACAACTTTGTAACAAGAAACAGTACGGTCACATCCTGTTGACAAGTTAGTCGGAACAGCATTGCATGCTGCATTCATCTGAGCTCGGGAAGGCGAGATCTCTTCTCGTTTAAGTGGTTCCATGTGAATCAAATTTCGAAAACATAAAAACAACAATGCGAGTCAGCCCAGTTCATATGAACAGGCCCTTGGTTCAAGTAATTTGCAAGCGTGCAAATTAAACTTTACCGCGAAAAACGTGGCTTGCGAGTTGACAAACAACAAATTTTTGCGCCAATTTTTGCAAGTAACATTCCTGAAGGGAGAGACCCGGGACATTTGCACTTAACCACTTTCCAACATACATTTCTCCTGAAACAGACTTGAACCACGCCTACACACGTAAAAACACACAAGTTGTAACAAACCTGCAGCAGACTTGTAGCAATGCTGTTCCAACAACTTGTCAACAGGATGTGTTCGCACTGCTTGTTCCCAGCTTGTTGACAACTTGCTACAAGGTTGTTGAGCTCAACAGCCTTGTTACAAGTTGTTCCAACAACTTGTTATCGTACTGCAATTCAACAATTCGTCAACAAGTTGCGAGTGACAACCTTGTAGCAACTTGATAAAATAACAGCATGGTTACAACTTGACAAGCTTGCTACAAGTTTGTTGCGAACACATCGCGTTGACAAATTGTGAGATTTTTACGTGTGTAATTCAGACCGTTCACGTGATCGCATTTAGTCGAGGGCTATACAGCCCACGTGTAAAACTACCCAAGTAAACACACACAAGTTGTTACAAGACTTGTAGTTGTTGCAACAAGTTTGGACCAAGCCGTTATCACATGTTACAAGGTTGTTCTAACAAGTCTGACACAGTCATGCTATAACATGAATGTTACAAGATGGATGACACAAGGTTGTAACATTATTGCTGTATCATGACTGTATCGGACTTGTTGGGACAACCTTGTAACAAATCTGATAATACCAATAAGGTTGTTACAAGTTGTTCACAACTTGTTTCAAACTTGTTGACAACTTGGGACAAGCAGTGCGAACACAACTTGTTGACAGCTTGTTGGCAGACTTGCAACAAGATGCGAGATTTTAACGTGTGTAGTTGAGTACTTGACTGAGAATGTCAAAGAATGTCGTTGATTTCCCATGCTTGCAGCAAAACTGGATAATTTTCTGAGCATTTTATTCACAAAATCACTTGGTTACATAATATTGACAAAAAGCTAGGCCACTTTAACAAAGTTAAGCAATAACTATTGTTCCATTGACTGTTCTTAGAGTATTCGCCTGTATTAGTTCTATCTATTTTAAAAGGTTATATATAATTAGATTACTAAAATAGTATGTCAGTATTTGTTAACAACTGTCAAAATTCCAAATTTTCTTTAATCAAAACAACTGCAGAAGCAAGCATCCTTGTCTCAGCCATTGAGGGTAATCTCTTCCAGGAATTTGATAAAAAGTTGAAACAATCCACTGCAGCAGGGTCGGCCAACACACCACCAATTACAATAAGCGTGTTTCCACAACAAACACACAAACAAAAAGCTCGTCCCGTTTTCATGGCCAATAGGACCTTACTCTGGCCAGTTTTGAAATCGTACTCGATAATCTCATTGCTGGCTTCCTGTGCATCCATATTTCCCATGCCTCCAATCAAAAGCATGGTGTCACCACGGCGAACTGTGCCCATACCGCGAACAGGAGATGGCAGTGGTGGCATTTCAACACATTCATTTCTTGCTATGTTGAATATTTCCACATCAGTTTCCGCATCTTCTCCACCAGCGATTAAAACCTTATCATCGAACAACTCCACTCCATGAAGAGCTCGTTTCTTCTTCATGTGACAAAGCAACTTGGATGAATAAGGTGGAACCAGGAGAAGCTCGTATATCGCATCCAAACTCTCACCAGCTACCTTCGTTTGGCCACCAATAATCAGCAAACGATTCCCATGGACAACGCACTTGTGAGCAAAGATCTTGATAGGAAGATTGACAAAAAACTCGTGCCATTCTGGAGGATTACCATTCAGATCTAATACTTCGATGCTATCTAGAAGCGTTTCATCGTCGGTGATCCCGCCACAAACAAATACTTGATTGTTAAACATCACAGCTGCAGAACCCGATCGAGCTATTTTTAACCGAGGCAACTGTGTCCAGGTTTGGTTTAACAAGCTAAATCGCTCAACAGAAGAAAGACACTTTTCTGTTTTGGGATTCCAACCAGCGATGACAACAATATCAGTACTCTTGGAGTTTACAGACTTTTGAAGACTTTCAAACGCAGTCGTCATTCGTTGCATGCACGTCATCATTTCATGTTGCGTGGCTTTCATTTCTGCTAAATCTTTCTTTATTTCGTCTACATCACGTCGTAGTACGCAGCCATGGGCACCATATTTATGTTGAGCCATCTTTTCCCCACAGTCGTCACAGGTCGTCGTCTTGAAGCGACATAAATCGAGCTCGTGTTGCTTTACATCGCGTTTGCTCACGACGTCGTCACAACCTTCATTTGGGCAAGTGACAGGCATGAAATCACAGTCCTGAACGTGTGCCTGTAGAGCTCCAAGCTCGAGAATCGCATCACAGCCTCTCGCTGCATGGTCACAACTGATCTTGTAACGTGAAACACAGTCGGCCACAATTCTTGGAGCCTTACGCAATGTCTCTACCGTCAGTTTATCTTGACAGACAGGACAACTATGCGAGGTCTTCTCCAGATGTTTCTTGATACAACCAGAACAGAAATAATGCTCGTTGTTCTCACATTGCTTTGGATCTTGTAAGACACCGAGACAGATACAGCAAACAAAGCCCTCGTCAATAGTTGAATGAAAGCGAGTTGTGTCGTAACCCTCGGCCATATTCTTTACGATACAATCACGATCAAAGTTAAGTTACATCTTGTAACATAACCAGTAGAAACTGTTTCATATATTGACCTACATACGTTCAATTTTCTTCGAAGAACAAAGGTAAAACACAGAACACAATTGCTCAGAAGTCAGAACTGTTGTTCTAGGAACTGCGAAATCAATGCGAATTTCGAAATCAGTCATGTGACTAGAGGGCGTAATCTTTCCGTCGTTTGCACCTTACGATGCACAGTCGTAGATGAGACAATGTATGAGCCCTCTCAGGTAAGCCGGGCTGGCTCGCTTTACCAGACCAAGTTGACTTGTTTCGCATGAAGCTGGCTAGCCTGGCCAGTCCTATTGAAATTCACGCGCGATTTTTGGTGGGAACGCGATATTTGTTTTCATTTCGCAAAATGCTCATTTTTATTGAGGGAAATTTTTTCAGAATTCTTTAATTTTATTGGTTCCTCATTCGTTTTGAATTTTAATTTAGATGCTTTCTAGACGGAATAACGGTGCGTTGTGACACAACTTCCGGCCCGGTTTGCTGGGCTGCACACGCAAAAATCTTGACAACAAGGTGTGTCCGCAACAGGCATGCAGCGCTTGTCAACAATACGTAACAATGCTGTTATTTATCAAGTTGCTACAGGGCCGTAGCTAGCATGTATAGTTGGGGGGGGGGGGGGGG